CCCCCCTAAGCAATGTAGGCAGAAGCCATGAAAGCTGGCTTTCAACAAGGGATTTCCACAGATGAGGGGTCCGGTTTTGGGGATTTCTATGATGAGGATCTGCCGTGATTTTTGGAAGAAGGGAACTCATTTTTTGGTAGTGCTCGTATTGTAGAAGCGCTTAGAGCGCGACTAGTTAGTTTTCTTCCTCAGTGATGAATAAATACCCCTCCAGAATTTGTCAAAGCATTCCCAGCATTGCCCTAGAAAGAGCACAGGAGTATCCATGATGATTTGTGGAGGGGTTGTGGAAGCAAATCTCCATAACCATAGGGATTCGCAAGTTTCTGTGTACGTATATGTTTTCCATGTCATACCTAAACATAATAGACTCCCTCAAAAAGGATCCTCGAAAGGAGCCCGCCAGATTCTGACAGCCCTGACCCGCAAAACCTTCATCCCTGAACCTCATATACCCTGTATACATAGTCCCCCTCAAGTAGATAGAATATTGCTTTGGGTAGATTTTATTAAAATCCCCAAATATCCCATATTCTTCCTTTTTAAGGGGGATAATATCCCACATATCCGCTACATACTCATACGTATCTGCATGCAAGGGGTAAGCATAGGTCCATGGAGGAGGGTAGCAAAAAAATAATAATATATATATATATATATATATGGTACCCCCCTCCCCCCATGTACCCACGCCTCTTCTCCTTGAAATAAGAAATACTGGGAATAGAATTGTATAACTGGAGCAGTCGTGGGCCATGGGCGGGGAAGGGGTATAATCAGTAGTAGAATGGAAGGGGTACAGTCAGTAGTAGAATCAGCAGGCCCCCCACTGGAATAACACCTCGTAAGACCCTTGCCCGATTGAAGTTCAATCGCCCGATTGAACTTCAATCAGGCTCAGGATTCAAGATTCAAGATCTGGAGGAAAAGTTTCCATGGAATCTTGAATCTTGAGTCTTGAATCCCATGCCCGATTGAAGTTCAATCGCCCGATTGAACTTCAATCGCTCCAAGTCCGTAGATATTCCCACTTAAGCCTACCAGCTC